GAGAAGTCGAGTTCGAACGGACTGTCGTGGTGGTAGGAGGCGGTGGGTGGTGGCGCGGCCGTGGACAGACGGTCTACGGGCGGAGGACGGAGGGCGGAGGACGGCGGGCGGAGGTCGTCGGTCGGAGCGAGAGGGCTGGGTGGATTTTCTTTTGTTTATTTTTTTTTTCCCCTTTCAGGGACTAGTTTTTGAGAATTCCTCATAAGGACCTTGATGCAATTTTTTTTTTGTATTTTAATATGTGTGGCATTCTTGTAATTTATTGAAAATTTAATAAATGCACATTATAATACAAAAAATTGCACAATATTGTAGGTTAAATTGCACATTAAAAATCACCTTGTAATTTTATTAGACTACAGAATTTGCAATGCTTGTTGTTCGGTTTTGGTTGTTTCATACGCTTTAAATAATAATGGCGCCATATAATCGAGATATTCAAAATTTTAAAAGTACAAATAATTAATTAAATTGAAACAAAAAAAAAAGTAATCGAAAATCTGAGTCCGGTCATTATCGGTCACTAGTGTGCAGTATGATAAACATTAATGTGCAACTTGTCTACCACTATTGTGCATGGTTCTGTTGTTTTTGTGCATTCTAATCTGACCAAATCTTATATCACAACGTAACTTATAACTAATATGAATTATTTTGGTGTACTCTACTAATCAACCGTATAATCTTGTAAATATATATATATATTAATTTAACAATTTTATATTATATTTTGGTAGAAATAACATAGTATATAAAATCCTGAAATTGATGTTGTGCATTGATACCTTAAATTATGTGCATTTAGTCTACCATTGATTTACTGTGCATCATAAATAAAACAAAATCATACTAAGTTGACGGCATTGTGCATTCTTTGAACGCATTAATGTGCACTCGAGCGAACACTATTTTGCAGTCTAGTATTTACTATTGTGCATTATTGTCTTGTACTATCGTGAGTTTTGTCGCTTCAGTTTTTTATGTTCAAATAAATCAAACATAAATAATTTATTACATGTAATGTAAAAAAATGTATTTAGTATTTCTATATTTTATTTAGTATTTTCTATTTTTTTTAAACACATAGTATAAATGTATAAAAAACGAAATATGAAAAATAATATTTTTATATATTTTACGAAAGTACATATTTAACCCAATATACTTAATTGAATATAACTAGAATATCCTAATTTACAATGGAGCCCTTCATTTATATCTAATTCACAAAATAGGGCCCAACAAATTAAAGCTTGTGAAAGCTCTTCAACCCCAATTCGCTGCTATACCCTTCAGGACGGCGGTGACCGAAATGCGGGAACAGGCGGCGTTCAAATGGCAGAACGAGACGGCGGCTGTGGTCGGATGGCGAAACGTGACGGCGGCGGCGGTTGGATGGTGTGAAATAGACGGCGGCGCACGAATGACCGGCGGTGAGCAGTAGACAGCTGCGACCTACCGC